GGGAGGCAAATTTTCGGCACTATGACTGGGTTGGTGAGTACGGAAAAACCCTCTTAGAGTGGATTGAAAACACTGATTCCAAACCAGTGCTGAACATGAACCCCGAAATTCTTGGGGAAATAGTAGTGTCGGTCATCAGTTATCACGTAAATGCATTTCTTAATGCTGACTTACTGCCTCGTGGATGTGATCATAAGATCGAGAACTCGAGCCACACATAAATCAAATGATGACTATAATTAGAAAAAATATTCACGATTTAATTCTCATAATAATTATCTTCATTTGACGTAGGGTCACTTGTCTACCCCTTTATTCACGTTTTGCATATTCCCTTTATTATTGCCTCTTATGACAGCTCGCCAGTTGTGTAGATCTTGTCGTATCTAAGCAATATAAAGTCACTGACTGTCAGCAAGTTGAATGCTACCACTGTCGAAGAATTTTGAACCAGCCCATCTGAAACAGCGTGTGGCGCTTAAACAAGCTCCCTTCACTTTCCTCACATTAATGCAGATAGGATAAGAGGTAGGATTAATTACGCCTTTAAATAATCTTTTAGCAGTATGTAAATTCTCGAAATAAATGTCTACGTTTCCAACATTGATGCTGAAGTCTTTAGTTTTACTGGGCACAAGCCAATTGAAGGAGCACGGCCATGAATTACATCACGAGTGATTACGACGTAATGGGCATCGCTTTTAATCACTATCCGGCTTGAACCAAACGCCTCTCAACATATCTACAAACTGTTTAAAGATTCCCGTCATATTAAAAGACTAGTAGTTGAACGAAGAATATTCTTTTCGATAAATTCTCTTCAGGTTCTACAATTATATATCCAAATTAATAATCCGAAAAAATGGCCAGGTTAAGGGCAAAGTACATCGTTTAGAGCATGTGAATTTAGGATTGTGATAAACAAAATACAATAAAATTGTTAATGTTGATATGACTTATATAGAATGTTAACTTGAATCAGCTTATATGTTAACTAAAATTTTAAGATCCATGATAAAAATAAATATGGGTCAAATAGGGTGAGAGAGGAATAATAGTGCAATTACAATTCGATCAAATAAGTAAGACGTAATGCGGAGGGTAGAATGCGAAATGAATGAATCATGTATAGTGGAGATTAATGATGTTTAACCAATAGTATGAATAATAATAATAATAATAACACAAAGATTTATGAATAAGGAAAACAAGGGCAATTACAATTGACTACGAAAGGTCATAGTCAAATTATATTTTCAAATATATTTTCGAACTCATTCGTTCATGACTTTGATTTGACTTAGATGGCACCATTTGGTTCTAAGTGTAATACAGATAAAAGCGTCGTCAAACCTTCACAAACTGTAGCATCTCCGTTTTTAACATCTATGTTTGTTGTTTATCTGAGACTCACGTTAAAAACTATCATGAAGTACTGCAATTTATCTTTCCACCTGTCGCCTCCGAAGGACTATTTTGCATGTGTTTATCTGAGGATAAAGTGGAATCTTCTAGGTTTCCTCACCTTGTCAAACTAAGCGCTAGGGTTGAGGCAGCGTTTGTCGGTTGGAGTTTCATTAATTAACGATTACTTGCTGCTGTTTCATGTACTCCACCAATGTGAGTAGAATGTATGTTTCCTTATCATCACGACTTACTCTTCAATAGATTGCAGCCTGGATGGTAGGAAGGATGATTTAATGGTGATATTGTTTTGATCATATTTACATTAGTAAAAAAAATCAAAAGGCCACTGGAAGACGTGAAAAACAGGAAGAAAAGGAGCTGGTATAACTTCAGATCACCACCTTGTTAAGGTGAAACTAAAGCTATAAATGCACCAGATTAATCAAAAAACAGCATCACAAAAGTTTAGTACAGCCTTCCTCACAGATACTGAAAAACTCAACGAATTCAATGTAACTCTCAACAACAGATTCCGAGCCTTACAAGATCTACTGGAAGAAGAGAAATCTACTGTGTAGAACGGTTGGAAACGGACCAAAGAAGCACCCAATTGAAGTGTTATAAGGTTCTGAGCCGCAGGAATCATCACCATAAGAAAGGAATCTCTTGGCTGCGGTAGTCTTACAGTTACTCGTAGTTCTAAGGTCACTGATTATTATGACTCCTAGATCTTTGTTGTTCATTACTTCAGTTAACACAACTCCACATATTACGTGGTGATATAAACCGTCTCAATTATTTATTTGAAACACCAAACTCCTGTCAGCATCAACTTCTAACAACCAATTATACATTCATTTAACCAGTGAATTAGGGTCATCCCGTATTAGCAATATATCTGATATAATATGTATGAGTCTTTTCAATTCTTTATGTCGTTTGCGAAGAGTAGAAAAAATGACTTTGCTGTAACTGGCAAGTCTTTGGCATAGAGTAAGTCTGAAAAGCACCAAAGACGTTGCCCTCGAACACTTCACTGTTCACAGATTTTCAAGTTAACAAGGCACCGTCCTTTCGTAATGGTTGTCTTTTATAACTGAGAAAGTCCTTTATCCTCTTCACGATTTCACAACTGCTTCCAAGCCATTCCAGATTTTATTCAAGGCTCATATGAGAGACTGTCAAGGACTTTACCTGAATCGTTGAAAACGGATTCTACCGGGATATTAATATATTTCATTACAGCTCAGTACTCTCCTGGATAAGCAGGTATGTCAAGCATGAAAAGCCTTTCCTACAATCGTAGTGTTTCACGGCCAAAAATAACCCCTTTCTATATAGTTCAGAATTGGCAGCGAACGATTCTTTCCAGAATGCTGACAACCACACTCGTTAGATCGACGGATCGGTAGTAACTTGCTGAGTGTCTGTTCCACAACATTTATACTTGACTGGTAGGTGAGTACTTCCAGTCTCTTGACAGTCTGGATTGGTTCAACGACACATCCAATCTTGTAGGAGGAGGTTTAGCAATTACATCCGACAGATATTTCATAATACCAGGATGAGTATCGTCGAAACCTAGGAATTTAGTGGTTTGAGAAGTTGCAGTAATCGTAGTTGAGTTTCTTTCTCAGTGACCGCAGGATCCATCGACGCGCTGCCATGACCAGCAATAACTGTTGGTTGTTCCTCGTCGCCAGTAGAAAGCACTTTACTAAAGTATACTGATAGCGTTTCACCATTTGGGACATCATTTCTTGCCGATATCAACCGATGTGCAAGAACGAGAAGTGATGACATTACATTACTTTTCTGAGGTTGTCTATTTATAAAAGAGCGCAAAGTTTTCTGACCTGTTTCCACATTTTATAACTGATTTGTTCTTCACACAAGTCCCTGACCTTAGTGATTACGGCTATGTATGAGTTTGAAGTCTCGCATTGAGTGGTTCTGTACTGTCCAGAGAGTGTATAGTTGAATATGTTAGTGGAGCATGCAGATTTAGAGTTGTCAGGAGCCTACTACCTAAATATTTCCGATACTACGGTGTCCATCTTGGTTGGAATAATGTCAGGTGCAATAAACTCTCCTTACTTCAGGTATCCATTACTTTTACTCCATCGATCAATGAGCTCTAAAATAAAGCCATCAAACAGTCAGACTGCGCTATTATAAATGACGTCGAATATAGATGTATGGCATTCAAATGTAAGTTCACAGCTAGTGACTTCGCGAATTCCACTATTATGGGATTTTCAAACAAGAGGGCAGATGTTTTTATTATTACTTGGACCTCATCTGTTCCTATCGATACGTTATCAGTTGATCATAAGTACGATGATTGACTTTCATTCGTCCACTCATTCTCCTAGTTCATAGAACTTGTTAATCAGACTACAAGAATTTGCATATAAAACTCGTGACGAGGACCTCCAATTCATACAGGTCCTGGTAGCATTTACTTCGTAGAATGACTGCTGAAATACTCGTTTTTCTCATCAGTTCGTCAACGGGTTTCTGGTTCAGCTAGTGCCGTCTTTCTTTTATTCATGTCTTCTAGAATAATGTCAGTTCTTACTCTTCATTAGTGTAAATATTTAGTTGTCTCTATGACCCCAAGGATTGCTTTAATACTCCTAGGTTTTGCAACTATTTCTTTAGTCGTTTTGCTCTTTCCTGATAATTTATTGTCCTCAAATGTTATATATTTACCTGGTAAAATACAACTATTTAATACCACGACCTTTTTACACTGAACACACGTCTAATTTTTGCAATTCTTAGTCTGTTGTTTGACTTCCTGTGTACCAACTTTTTCTGCAGTGATAGTTTTTTCTACCGGTGCTAATTTTTCCGGTGTTTCGTCAACAACTTTTTAAGGATCAACTCCAGAAGGACTATTGCCTTTTCGATAAGTGATGTTTTACTCGAACATAAAAATATTAGTGAGATTTGAGCCTCAAGCATTTTATCACTCAATGGGCCTTGCAGAAAAAAACGCCTTTTTGAACTTCTATTTCACACATCACATTACATCCTTTCATTCATATGAACAATTTGGCCCTCCACATTTTTAAGTACAGCCGATCCTGCGAACAGCTTTCAAGGAGAAAAATCAGTAGAATTATGAAAGGTAATTTTTGAACGACTGATGTTAATTTCCATTATTGATTACATTTTCTACTTTGCTCTAGGCAACCACCCGAAATGATGCGGTGATTATTAGTTACACTGTCGTAACCCATTATGAAAGGTATGCCTAATTCTTTGTCATTTTTCCTAGATTACATAAAAGATGCAAGGTTTTTTATGAGGGAAATACTAATCCATCATGGTGCGGGCCTGTCTGGTGTAGCGCACTCAGTCACGATGTAAAAGTGATTTATTCGCTTTGTTCTTCAACAGAAATTATCCGAAAATGTCTAAAACCGATAGACTAAATGAACCATACATATCCGTAATCACTGACTAGAATTGACAACGCCTGATATCAGTTCAAAGTGCCCAGATTTTGCGTTGTTGAGACTTTTCTAGTCTTAAAAAGGTTTAGCGACTGCTTAAAGGCCCTTATTATATTTTTGAGGACTGTTTGGCGCAGTTAACTTTCAGTCTATTTTCCTGGGTGGCTCTTGAATTTTATCGTGACTGAAGGTCATTCCTCAAGGTTGTATATTTATATGCTGTGGTTATGATGCCCGGTGGCGAGTCTGGCGATGATGTATGTGTTGATTATGAGTTCGTCACTTTCTCTAGAAAGACACAAAGCAAAAAGAAGATGTGGAGAAAAGAAATCAGGAGATTCGTGCCAGTATTCTAGCACAAATTCTCGATCAAGATGCAAGAGCACGTTGTAAGTTCAATAAACATGCATTTTCTATTCATAGTGAATACCATTGCGATCACAAAGCCAGAAAAAGCTAAAATGGTTGAAAACATGCTCATCAATATGGCTCAAACTGGACGTCTAGGACCAAAGGTATTATTAATATTTCGTAAAGTATTACTGTGGGTGCATACTGTAGTAGCAAGTGTTGAGACTTGCTATTGTAGTTAACTTTACAGACATTCTTTTTTATTTGAAGTGTTTCAGGTGGGTTTTTTAGCGATATTCAGCTAATCGTACATGCAAATACAGTGTGCTGGTTATCAATCGACGTACTCTTTCGAGAACGATAAGCTCGGAGAGCGTTGTTTTGTTATCAAACTTTAACGTTATCATCATTAACTGCAAGATTACTACTTTTGTGGTGTTCTCATCCCAGAATCTTAATAAACGCAAGCCGTTTATTTTGACGTTATGAACTACTTGTAGCTTTCAGTGTTACTGGCTTAGGCTGCAACATTTTTTAATCGCAAGACTTTTACCTCGTAATTACTTACAATAGCGGAAGTGTTATTGCAGAACGTGAGTACCACTAAAAACTAACAATCTTATGTGGTGTATATTTCATACATCAGGGCCATTAAACTCCACAAATGTATGGGTCTGCATTGTTCCTTCCCATATATCGTGTTATTGAGATCTCTTCTATACAGTTGTATAAAGAGGTCCTCATACCATGCGCCTAGTATAAAATCCGACTAGGTCAGTACTTTCCACAGAAGTAAAATCTCCAGACGCAGTTTAAGAACAAAAATAAGTTTATGTATTATATGCTGACATCCTTGGGCAACTTGTCAGCCAGTCAGAAAACACTACCTAGTTGTAAAACAATAAACAATGCAAATTAGTGAAATAACAGCTTGGATCCAAATAATTAACTCACCCATGTCAAATTACCCATTGTAGAGGAAAAGCGGTCAATTTCACATATACGTTTATATGTATATTAGGAATCGGGCTAGTGTTGTGAATTGGAGTAATCATCTCGTAGGACTTTCGTCACCGACTGGCACCAATTCTAATTCCATAAGGTTGGGGTCAAGTATTATGTGTTAAACTGAAGTTTTGAGTTAGTTTTACAGATTTGGATCAAGGTTTCCAGCACGAACTTATATCAGCTATAATACGCTTCACCACCTTTCTGTTTACGAACTTCAGTAATTCAGGATTGATATTCACAGTAAGCATAAAAATGAGAGAACATCATTTAGCTTCACTAAACACTTGATTACGCAATGAACGACATCAAGTACTTAAACGCACAGTCTGCATTAGGAGCAGGTATGTTGTGTAATTTATGTCAAGCACCACTTAAAATTTACTTTTTGATTGCAAAATAGATGTGTTTACTGACTTCAAGCATTTTACGAACCAAATATTGCCAATTTTCATATAGTGAATAACAACGTACATTATCACAGTACTTTGAATTCCGCGCAATACACAAAAGGCATTATCTTAATTGTGCTTGGTCAACTTAAGGCCTTCGGTTCACGTTTTTATGAAAATTTCTTTCATCATTTTGAAGAGTATGCTCACCACAATTATTATAGTGTATACAATATAAAAATGTAAACAGTCTAGACCATTATGTCTTCTAGCGTTGACTTTTTTGAGCTATTGCAAAATAGTATTTCTGGAAGCCTTGGTTACATCCATATATCTTTAGTAGACTTAGTTAGTTCTTATCTACCGGCTTCACATTTTTAAAACGCAATAAATAAGTATAACACGAAAGTTAACGTCTTTGTTATAGATTTTTAAAAGTTGTTCGGTAGAAATACGACTTCGCAGTCTTCTATGCTTAGAGGCATTTTGGTTACTTGGATATTTCCAAATAATAGTTCCACTAGAGGGAATCAGTGTAGCCATATGACATATTGTTCTAGCGATTATAAATGAATTTCAGACACATACTGGTTTTTCGATAATTGATTTTTTTCATAGCCGTTTGTGTCCACTAGCCATGTATCTTCAATATATGAGGTTTAAAGCTCTATTTCGTTGTCTCAACCATAAATTTGAACGGAAGTCCTAGTTGTTTTGTTTGAAAAGTATTTCTGTGATAAAGTACTGTTTGCAGATTAGTTTTGTCTTCTTATCTGTGTAGTATGTTAAAGTTCCTTGCTAGTCATAAACGATACAGTCAAACAAATACGTTGAGTTTCGTCCCGCATCTCAAGCTTTCGTTGTTCGTAATTGCTAATGTTTTTTAGTATTTTTCTTATATTTAACTCATTTTAGCTGAATGAAGAGCAGTTAAAACAAATCCTCCTGCAGGTTTCTTCGGGTACTCAGAAATCTACCACGGTAAAGGTAGGATATTTAACTCACAAGTCTTACGATTTTCGTTCACTTAGTTTGATCGTCGTCGTGCAGCTATCGATTCAGACGAGGATTCACTTTAATGCTTGTTCAACTGAATTTCCGAAGTAAGGCATGTATATGGATGAAGATTCGGAGATATATAGATTTTCTAATTTGTAATAGGAAGATTAATAACGCTGTAAAAATAATTAAAATTTGATTTGATTGAAATCTTTTTTTTTGAATTCTAGTAAATTGTATGTTCGTCACGATGTAGATTTTTATATACTTGTATTTGCGAATCGGTATCAATTAGCGCTTCACAGTCAAGATTATTCGATATTTCCTCAATGCTCAAAAATGGGTTAAGAAGCAAGCTATTAATATTGAATGCTTTTATCATTCAACATCACGTTAAAGTGGTTAAGTTTTGATTATGCCGTTAGATTATCAGCTCTTCAGTTTGAAACGAATTTTGAAGCTATATAATTCAAATATAACCGTAATTATTAAATTCTCACATTTTCGCCAATTTTTTTCCTAGATATTCGACTGGACATTTTCCATCTTAATTTTTGAGCATTACTATACCTGAGAATTCACTAATTCTTTGAGTTATGTTAGGTCAAGACGCTGAATAAATGCAGTTTTCTAAGCACATTGAGAGAACATTTTAAAATGTTTTATATCTTTCGAGTTTTTGAGTAGATTGCTACGTCTTCATATGATGGATAGAGCGGTCAACTGCTACTATCATTTCATATGATTGGAGAATAGCATATCGAAACTCTTTAGACCCAATATGATAGTTTACATATGGCAGAAAACTTATATATCACCTTATCAAAGGAAAACTTGGTTGTTTGTTGGGCTTTTCACTCGTTTCTTTATCTTCTGACGTGATCATTAACGACGAGGAGTATCAAAATATCTCATTCAATCACAAGTTTCTTCAGAATGTGTCGAAGTGTTGATCAATGGTATGACCATCCGATTTTCAACTAGTGTGTCACTTCAGAATCCCGCTTCACATATTTTAGTTTGTATGGTCAGCATTCTGGTTAGCGTTTTTTTAGCGAGTTAGTTTTCTACGGGATGGGGACGCTAACCCCATGCCCAACCCTCCTCCTTTATCCAGGCGGAGTCAGCATTGATAACAATCACATAATTGTTGCTGCAGCATTTCACCATGATATTTGAATCATCTTTCATCTATGTTAAAACAACCATTTGAGCAACATGTTTGAAGTGGGATGATATGCGACTGAAACAAATCAATTATAGGATTTATGAACTTACAGATTTTCAAGTTCGTATCTGTCATTATGACATTAGTTTCATTTGTTTTACATATACTAATAGTTTTTATGCATGTTTTCCTTACTGGATGTGGTTTTTATTAGAGCTGAAAATGTATGGCTAAGGTAATGTTTGGGTGCTAGTCCCATGTGAAGTTTTATAACCAGAATAACAACTTTGATTCACACAAATCTAATCAGAAGAACACTTCTATACTTTAGATCTAACAATAATTTATTTCAAACATTATAATTGGTTTGACTTCTTATCGGACCACTGTGTGGCATATTTCTCTAACCAATAAATGTCATTCCAATCAGATCAAGTATTTTGTGACTGCGTGTAAGTACATTTCCTTATAATCATCATTATAGACTAATTGTGCTTATTTTCTTGGGGGTATTTATTCAAGTGTGTAATGTGTCTGTTTTTCAGATTGATGTGTGCATGCTAGAATTCAGGTGTATGTATATCTTACACACTTATTTAGATATAAAGGCTGAGCCACTCTTAAGTCAGTGACCTTAGCCAGAGACTGGTTTATACTTTTACGCATTATCACCGTTTGTCTTTTCATATATGAAATGCATATATCTTTCATACATTCCATATTTTGACTTTTCAAATTCATGTTGCCGTGAACAATTGTCAGTAAATATGTATGAAATCAAACGTCGGGTATATATTTTAACTGACGACAAACATACTTTATAAAAATAGTGGATTTGAATTCTATCGCTTACAATATACATATACATATGATAAATGGAGAATTCATCGACTGCAAAATGGAGAATTTTCAATACAAATTTTATCATCTATACAGTTTTGTTTACTTATCTCACAATCTGTTTAATAAACTAGTTCGTTCTCTTTCAGTATAATGAAATCATATTTGTGTGTAAGACACAAATAAAATTATGCTGCATAAATACGCTTACAGCATTCCTTGAAAACTAGTGGTTAATTTATTATTGGATAAGTGAAATTAGTGTAAATAAAGGACACATAGCTAGGAAACTTTCTTGGGGAAAATGCTGATCTGAAGTTTTGGTAAATTATCTAATAAAATTGTTTATGTTAGCAACGGATTTTCCTGAACTCACCAACCTTCAGTATGTCACATCTTAAAGTTAACATCCAACAATTTATCCAGTAAACCTTTACACAAATTTAATAAGCTTGAATCATCACATTTTTGTTAGATAAGATTGATACTATAAGGCCTTTGATAAAAGACCTGTGAAACTATGAGCTTATCTTTGATAATAGAGTTGTGAAAAAGTAATTCTATTTGGTTGTAGCTTATCATTAAAGAAAACGCATTGAAATAAAGCATTCCCATTAAGTCGTGTAGGATTTTCTCGTACTTTGTTAGATAAGTTGAACAAATGTTTGTTAACCTGGGGAAGAAAATTGGAATTAACATCTCTATTTGAATAACATATTACATGGAATTAACTTGAAAATTCTTTCGAAAAACTAGTCCTTATGAAGCTGACTAACAGGTCATGGGCTATCAGGATCAACTTCATATAGAAATAAGTATACTAAAAGACTTGCAAATTTTATAAGATCCTCACATAGTGAATTAATCAATCTAGATTTCTAGCTAGATGCTTCTGAAATGCATATTGACGATTGATTTCAGAATTTTTGAGATTCAAACTCAGTTATTTAGTATCCTTGAGCAACTACCTTTCATTTCTATGGTCGATATTTTAGCGTTTAGTACTCTGTTTCGTAATATCCTAGATTCGGGGATGTATCATGTTTGAACAGAACCCAAATTTTCTTTTATCTTTAATCTTTGCAAATGGAGATTGTAGGGTAACCAGCTCAAATATTCTGGAAAAAATAGGTTGGTGCAAACTACTTGCTTATGGTGTACATGATAATCGATATCTGTGTTTGGAGATGTCTATTGACCTGCCTCATAATCGATCATAATGGTGTGTTTGAATTCATTTTCGATCTTCACTAACATCTTAAGCTCCACTCTTCTCGTAAATTTTATGTCTTAAGTCCATCGCTTTTTGAACCGCGTTTTGCAATATTTGCTCTTCGTCACTATTACTATTATTTCAGTTCGATTTCTATTCTTAATTTTACTTCATCGAGTTGTTATACTTTGTAAACTTGAGCTGTAACATGCATATCCCTTGGTTTATATTGGTTTTGACTGACTAAGTATTTGGCTATATAATAATCAGTTGCACATTTGGAACTAATCTCAGTTGCTATGTAATAGTATTTATACATTGTTAACTAATCAGTAAGATCAATCACATAACGTTTATCAAATAGTGGAAATTCGCAGCTTAAGCGGATGATGTTGTTGTTGTGGTATTGTGTTGTATGAGTTAGATGGTGTAATTGCAAACATTTCATTGTTGTAGACGGCGACATCAAGTCCTACTGTCAAAAAACTACCTAAGTCACGCATCGTGGCAAGCGAAAATATAGATAGAAGATATAGATAAGGTTTGAGTTTGATGTACGTGGGTCGAAGCGAATAAATCCATAGAAATGATCAACAACTACGCTTACACTGTTTCCAGAATTTATGTACACATGCTGTGTGCTTACGATACAGAATACTCAATACGGTTTTATTCTTAAGTTTTGTTCATCTGGTACAATGATGCAATTAATCCTACCTAACTTTCACAAACTCATCTGAGTTTTTCAGATTTGGTATTTACGGACTTCGTTTCTTATCAATATCTTTTAATAATAATGGAAGACGTTATACACTTGGTTATTCATGAAGACTTATTGGACTGTTCACCATGGTTACATTCTTATCATGGTTCTAAAAACAATTTAAGTGTACATTTTTAGGTTTCGTTTGTTGTATGGTCAATTAAAGTCAAGAAACTATATTACTTATGTTTTGCAAGTAGTCAAAATGTAAAACGTGTTTTTCCAATTTATCATTGGGCAGCTCCATTTATAAAACAAGCGTATCTTAAAACGTTTTATTTTATGGAGATCAAAAACCATGATATGAGCAAAATAATACAAGTACATTTAATATTTCGATATTAGTTATATAAATACACTTGAACACTAGTTTGCGGTAATGAAGTCTGTCATGAGTAAAAGTAAGTATATGGAAAAATAGGTGAGACTATAATTTATGCTCGACCTTTGAGTGACGCCTTAGTGACCTTGATAATGTCCACCTACTTACTAGGGCCAAGTGAGGGTTATAAAAGAGTTTGGAAAATAAGGATTATGATTTACAGCTGATTGTTCGGGTTGGAAATTAGATTGATGGATTTCATCACGAACTGGATGGATGGATTTCGCGCCAAAATCCGAGACCTGTTATCCTAAACTTGATTGGTTCGTCTATAAATTATGGTCTTGTTGTTCGAGGAGTAGCTCTATATGAGTTCCACCATTAAAAATAGTAATATCTCAAAACTGCTGAAAAAAATGTAGTTTTCAGTCTGATTATGTTTCTAAGTATTATCTTAATACACACAGTGCATCATGTCTAAAAAGTTAAGACAATTCAAAGTTGATGAATAGAATAAAGCTTTAACTGATATGGGGTAAAAGTAAACCACAAATTTATCAGAAGAACGTCTGATTTGTAATTTCAATGATATTAATGATCGTTTCATCATCTCGTGTACTTAATCTACTAACAATTTCTAAAGTGAGCATTTCAGGAAAGCCTGGAATATTCTGATAACGTTTTTACATTTCATTTACAAATTGAACAGATTAGATAATCTACTGAGAATTAATTAGTTCCCCCCAATACTAGGTCATTTGTCGAGTTCACTTAGTTGTCACATTCGAAAAGTGGACGAGAAAATAAGTGAATTATGTTATCGATTCTGCGACACGTGATAGATACGGAAAATTCGTACTTAGATTTTTCCTTTGAAACCTCACCGAATTCAGTCGTAAATTACAAGATATACACTCCTTAACTGTTTTATCTTGAGACCGCTGACCAATTTCATGTGGCAGATTATCGATCATAATCTTAATTCTAATGTGGTTTATTTTGCGTCTACTATTTACGTGGCAGCCCAGTGTCTCAGAATTGTTCAATTACAAAACTGACTTGCACAACTAATCTTGAGCCGACAGTTAAGTACCAATTGATTCGTCATTCAGAAGCTCCTCTTTATACCCTGACTTGAGTCCAAAGATCAGTAACCAGTTTCTACTTTATTTATATTTCAAACAGACGTGATTTACATACAGACATTCCGGATGGTGTCACAACGAAGTTGCTGTGAATAAGGAAAACTGAGTAATAGACTGGCAGCAAACTAGGAATAGTAAGTGGCATGATAGTAGTTAATGGGTTAACCGAAAGCTTATAATAAACAGAATCCATGGGATGTAATTGGGATTGATAAAGATGTACAGTACAATTTGAAATTTTTTAAGATTTATTGCATTTTGTATTTGTAATATAACAGATGAGAAATATTTGAGTTAAAATAATGATGACTGCATAGAGATATAAGTAACATTATCTAAAATATCCCAATGCACACAATGATGATGAATAATAACTTTCGTCTAAATTTGAACGAATGGTTTCACAATATTTGGGCGTCGAGTTAATGTGAGACATGAAAGAGAAAAAATGTATTTGTAAAACCTCAGCGAATGAATTTCGAAGTAAATCCAACGTTTCGTCTGGCAATCTAGTCCAAACTTTTTCAATGAAATATAATCAAACAACAAAATTATCGACCAGATCGCCAGGCGAAACGTTGGATTTACTTCAAATTCTTTCGCTGAGATTTTACAAATGCATTCTTCCTCTTTAATGTCTCACAATGATGATGAGTCAGCTTATTTGAGTATGATATGAACTAATACACACTTTAATATAAAATGCAAAGAGCTGTTTCATGAAAAGATTATTGAATTATGGGTCTTTGTTAACCAATATAATCACTTTTATAAGTTATCGGAATCCATTTGTTATTAATTAGAACGTACTAGATATTAATCTACAATAAAACATGAAAGCTGAGATAAATTTTCCACTGAAAAAACAAACTACTGTCGAAATGACATGGAAAATTTTACATATGGACCAAATAGGAGTTTATTGCTAATAAAGCAGGATTTTTACCGCGCTTTTTCAATGTTTATGGATTATTCAGTGCATATAATTCATCAACATATGTTTGGTATAGAAACTCACTTATGTAACTGGACATTCATTTGCTTTCGAATACTTTTTGAGGCCGTAAAATACATTTTATCTCCTGTATATTGATTCTACATTGTTTGTATACAACTGCTAATGTAGT